ACTCTCATATGGTCTAGCCACATCACTCTTAGGTACATACTGGAAGGAATCAAAGTTCAGATACTGCAGAGATTCCTATTTGTTAATCATAATACTATTCACAAAAACCAAGATACGGAATCAGCCTAGGTACCCATCAGCAGAAGAGAAGAAAATGTGGTATGTATACTGTGGAGTCGTATTCAGTCATAAAGAACAAAAATCATATTGTTTGAAGGAAAATGGAGGGAACTAAAGATCATCATTTTAAGCAAATAAGCCAGAATCAGAAAGACAAATATACTGTGTTCTCTCACATGTATTATATCTAGAGTAAGAAAAAAATTATTTTAATATTTTACTTATTATTTTTAGTTTATGTGTATGCATGTATTACCTGCATGTAGGTAAGTGTACCCGTGTCGTGCCATGCCCTTGGAGGACAGAAGAGGCTGTCAGATCCCCTGGAACTGGAGTTACGGACAGTTGTTAGCTGCCATGTGGGTGCTGGGATTCGAACCCAGGTCTTCTGCGTGTTCTTAACTGCTGAGCCATCTCTCCAGCCCCCCCCCCAAAAAAAACAACAATATATATGTCATTTTGAGACAGGGTCTCCCTGTAGCCCCAGCTGTCCTGGAACTCACTATGTAGACCAAGCTAGCCTTGAATTCACAGAGATCCGCCTGCCTCTGCCTCCCGAGTGCTGGGATTAAAGGCCTGCGCCACCACAACCAGCTTTTGAAAAAAATTTTTTTAAAGACCTGAAAATAGGAGGTAGAAGGGACTATTTGGGAGGAGGAAAGTGGCCAGGGAAAAGAGGAGCAAGAGAGAGGAGTGGGGATGAAGTCACATATGATCAAGGTACATATGTCTGTTTGCAGATGTCACAATGAAACTCCATATTTTTACCAGTTCATATATGCTAAACAGAGAAATAAAAGGGCTGGCAAGATGCCTCAGTGGGTAAAGGTGCTTGCCATGCAACCCTGATGACTTGTTTGATGACCAGAACTCACAGTGGAGGGAGAGAACTGACTCCCAAATGTTGTCCTCTGACCTCCACATGTGCACTGTGGCACAAGAGTGCCCCAACCCACATATGTGCACACACAATAATAATACATAAACTTATTTAAAAACTTTTTTTGAGGTGAGGTCTTGCTATGTAGCACTGGTTGACTTGGAACTCTCCATGTAAATCAGGTTGGCCTGGCTCACATAGAGATCTACCTCTGCTTCCCAAGTACTGGGATTAAAGGCGTGTACCACTGTACCTGAAATAAAATGACTTTTCAAAGGATTAATCTTCAAAAGGGGTATGAAGAAATAGCTTAACAGTTAAGATCACTTACTGGTTTTGCAGAAGACCCAGATTCAGTTCCCAGCACCTATATGGTGGCTAACAACCGTCTGTAACTCCAGTTCCAAGGGTTCTGATGCCCTCTTCTGGCCTTAGCAGGCAG